CTTTCCTCTTCAACTTTCCTAGGAGGACAAAAGTAAGAACAGGACAGCAGCTGCAGCCACTTAGGGAGGAGACAGCAACACAAAAGCCCTTTCACCAGCACATTTCTGAGCCCCCCCACGGGCCTCCCACCGGTATCTCCCTAAGTTCCCGCTGCCAGGAATCTCAGACCCGGCTCCCGCTCAGGTAATCGGTCCCGCCCCAGCGGGACCCACTTCTAAGGGCCCCTCCCCTAAACTTTTCTGTCACGGTACTTGAGCCCATTGATACTCTCTGTAACCTATTTCCTGTCGTGAGAGCACAGGCTCTAGGAAGAAACACAGGTCCCGGGTCGCAGGGAAAATATCCTACTTCCAGCTGAGAAAGGTTGTTGAAAAACTGGAATAAATCATTAAAATAATTCAGAGTTCTGCCAAACCGGACAGAAGCCCCAGCAACATTTCCCCTCTCATTAAAATTCCCTCCTGTTCCCACTAGACAAGCGCGTTCATCTTGTGTCCTCTTCACTAAGGGAGGCCAGGAGCCAGTCTCCAATCTGCTAAGACAGGAAGGGGGCGGTAAGGCCCCCCCATGCCCCCTCCCCATGAGGAGGATGTGGCCAGATTCTCCTAAGAAAAATGGACTCCTGACTCCCCGGCCGCATTGCAGGAGCCCTGATTTATCTTGTTGTAACAGCCGCACTCTCACATTCCTTCATTCCAAGTCTTTTCATCAAAATGTCAATTTCAATCCTGAAACCAAGGTTGGGATCCTAAAAGTAACACAGCACTAGTAAGTTCAGAATTTGCTCTTATCTTAATGAAAAACATGGTCTCCCCGAATACGTTGTCAAGGGGGAAACGCTCTTCTTGGGCCGCACTATAAAAACCAAAAACTGAACCAACGTATTTCAGGCTGGAGGGAGAACATGCTTACCGGCATTCCATTATAATACATAAATCAGGGGAACAGGCCGACCTAAGTTTCCATTAACAATCTGAAAAATCTTTGGCCAATCACTTTTCTAGACATAGCCTGAGTTTTAAAAAATTAGCGAAAAGCTGCAACTTTTTATTGGTGCTCAAGTAGTAATTCACTTGGATGGGTACCTATCAGCCCAGAACACTAAGCTGAACTGATTCTCCAAATCTAAAGGGGTGCTCAAGATTCTATTCTGCCCCACTTTGAAGCTTCCAACAAAGGAACCAGGACCGTATTTGAAGTGCGAATGGGGTGAATGCTGAGAAGTATAAAGTCAGGCAAATCAAAACCGGAATGTGAGATTTCACATGCTTCAAAGATACTTACTCCACTAACACTACCCTTAAACCTGCTTTATGATCCTCGCCCTGGAGATGCAGCCACAGGAAGGGGGAGAATCTTCGCGACAGCCCTGGAGGCGGGCTCTCCAACGAGACTGACTGTCCGAATTTCTCACATCCCACTCTACCCTCCCAACCCTCGACTGGACGAGCCATCGCGTGGCCATGGTCTGTCAGAAAAATTCACCGACACCCACCCACAGCCTCTCCAGGAAAAGCCTATGATACAGGGAGAGAGATTCAGATGAGTCCCTGGCTGTCACTCCCACGCTGCAATTACCAGTCACCTCCCTGCAAAGCCAATTAGCAAAGTACGTACAGAAGCCCAGAAGCCGGACCCGACAGGGCTGTACGTATTTTAGGTAGTCCAGAGAATTGCTAAGTCCAAAAAAAGCCAACCACTCCTCAGAGAATGTTTCACATGTAAGCAGTTTTTTTTTTTTTTTAAAGAAAAGTATCTTAAAAAACAGTAAGAACTAAATTCGGACTTCTGAATACGTTCTCTGTTCTAAGAAACATGCTGACACACGTATTTTACAATGTTAAAATAGACAGAACATCACAAAAACTTGGTTGCATGACTCAACTCTATAGTTTAAAGTTAGGCTCAAGGCATTATTAGCTAGCAGGTAAGGGAGCAGGTTCCTGGTGTCCAGAGGCAAGGCCCTCCTGCTGGGGCCCGCACCGGACTGGGACCGGCTGTAAGAGCTCTGCGGAATCGGGCACCAGCAGACACTGACCTTCCAGGAAGATGCTAATAAAACTGACCTGCGCCAGGCCAGCTGCAAATTCCTACCGAGTGTCAGTGCTGGGTGCTACAGGGTCCCCACCGGTGTTCCCGGACTGCCCCTGCTTGTCCTCATCGGACAGGCACCTCTCTATTACACTTCCAGCCTGTCGCAGAAATTGGACAAATCCCACATGAAAAATTAGCATACCTAATTTTAGTATTTCTACTGCATAAAACCTACTGACCTTTCCTGAAGGAATTCTACATTATGGTGTCAGCTGACTTGCCAGGATTCTCTATAATAACTTGGGTTGATAATTCTACTGCCAACAATACATCTTGTAATGTATACCAGGCCAATGCATAAATATTATTATATCACTTTTATATAACTGCAAAAATATAAATATAAATCTACTGCATAGTATGTATTTTGCTCTGTGAAGCGAGGATTACAGGAGAGATGACCTAGAATCGGCCAACTTTTCTCTCACCTTTAAACCTCAATATGTATACAAATACAAATATACAAATGCAGAACGATTTTATATATACTCCCCAACCCCACAGCCCAGACTCCCCGGCCTCCCACAAGGCTACCCATGGAAAAGTGTGGCCCTGCCATTCGGCTTGCAAACCGCTCTAGATATATGTCAGGAGACAGCCTTGGTTTGTGGGTTCTTTCCTTTGTTTTTCTTTCGTGGTAGGAAAAATATCTCAGTCTCTTAGCTTTATAAGTGAAAAATATTTATTTCTAAATGAGTTTTTAAAAAGCAACAAAAATACTCTTTTAACTTGAAAAGAAAAAACCAAAAGGCAGTGCTCATATAATTTAAGTCATCAAAGAAATGTAAATTAGGATTTTGGTTTTACTTCCTGTTTGAGCTTTAACTTACAAGTGTTCTCTATGGGCTTTCAAAGCCCACTTTGAAAAAGGAAAAAAAAAAAAAAAAAAGAAACAAGTAGGAGTAACTTTCCTGAGGAAATACAAAACACTTAACAGTTTCAGCTTCAGTTACCAGTTTTGGGATATTTTTCTCTGCTGACATTGTACCTGAGAATTCTAATTCATATTGGAGAATATGAACCCCCCCTAAAAAAAAACAAAAAAAAACAAACCTATTCTACTCTTCAGATGAGCAGTTACTAACTGCTGTTGATTATGCTATTTTCTCTTGAATTAAACTATTTTGGGTTATTTTAGATGAGTGGTATATTAAGGGGGAGGAGGGTATGTGTGTGTCAAATAACACTAATACCTGCTAGTAGTATTTAATTCACTAGAAAAAGAATCCCTTGAATAACCAGAGCACATTAAAAATATTATAGCATCTAAAATAACTTACTTCTAGGAGAATAATTATATTTTTCATGTGCTACATACCTCCTAGGTGTGGGCGGGTGTACTGGGGTGGGTAGTGACTGAATAATCCGTGGTATTAGTGAGTGTAAAAAAAGTTTTAATGTAATAGGAAAACATCCCTTTTTTGAATGGAATTATTAATAAAGGAAATATCCGTGAGATTAGTAAACAAACTGAGCTCCATCTATGGCTGATGAAAGCTTTGATTACACAGTTTCCTTCTATGTCCCCTACCATTTTCAGAGGGCAGGACATTCACAGCCAAAATAATCATTAATTTAATCACTTAGTCTTTTAACATTTAATGAGTAAATTCTACATGACTGGCACTTTTGGCTAGATGCTGAGCATAGAAAATGCATGCGCTAAAAGCCTGCTCTTAAAGGCACTTTGCAGGTAAATTGTAACACCCAAAATTCATGTTGACTGTACTTGGAGATGGGGCCTTAAAAGAGATAACTAAGTTACAATGAGGTTTTTTAGGGTGGTCTACAATCCAATAGGACTAGTGTCCTCCTAAGAAATCAGGACATGGACCTACAGGGAAAGTCAGGTGAAGACACGGAGAGCAGACATCTGCCTACAGGCTAAGGAGAGAGGAAACCTGCCATGCCCACACCTTGACCTTTGACTTCTGGCCTCCAGAACTGTGAGAAAATAATTCCTATGTTCAAGCCGCCCAGTCTGTGGTACTTTGTTATGGCAGCCTTAGCAAAGGGATCCAAAGGCTCACCTCCTGTCAGAGGAGAATGACATAGAACTATCGGGAATAGCTATGAAAAGCAGCTAACTTAAGAGATACGCATGAAGTGCAAAACAGTAGACACTCTAACACAAAGTGGCTGTCTTGGATATTCTGGTTTGGGGATCTTTACTAGGTAAAAGAATATCCTAACCATTTCCAAGACATTCACAGACTCTAACACCTGCTAGGGAGCTTTCCCACGTTATTTCACTTTATCCTCGCAGAAATCTTGCAGTAATTTTGAGTGTGCCCATCTTATAAATGAGGAAAGCCAGCTTTAAAAAGATAATCAACTCATCCACAATCACCCAACTGACAACGGAAAGAGCCACACTTCCAAGCCAGGTTTCTCTAGTCAACACCGTGTGCCTGCCTCCCAAACCAGTGCTGGAGGGGGCACCGGGTACAGCAGGTCACATGACGCGAGCTTTAGTGCGGTCTCCTCTCTGTGTAATGCATAATTCTGTGGGTTTGCAGTAACCTCTGAACAGCACACTAGGGGGTGGCAGTGAGTGTTCTAAGTCTGTAAACTAGCTTGAAAAAATGTCACCAAACCTTCTCCAAGTTGCAGCAAAACCACAAGATGCTTATGATAAGAGAGTACAAACTCAGAGATTAATATCAGAGATTGCGCTTTCATCCTTCCTCATTTTTCACTCATTTTATGGCTGTTCATTCAGGTTCCTCTGGTTCCATCTTCATGGCTTACGTCACATAAAGACACCTGGAACAGGACAGAAAGTATGCACACGCCCGTCTGCACTGAGCCCTAAAGGAAGCTGGCAGGGAATAACGAGGAACTGTGAAGGAGAGAGATTTACTGTAGAAAAAAGTGGAAGGGGAGAGAAGTAGAACGTAATTACCTGTTTCTTCATCTATTTTGAAAACGCCAACACCAGAACCGTCTCTAATGGAGTAACGGATCTCCCCATCTCTTCCTGTGTCTTCATCATGAGCGGACACTGTCATCACTGAGGAACCAATAGGGACATCTTCTTTCACTACACCCTTCTCCACAAAGCTGGAAAACACCGGTGGGTGTAAGTTCTCATTCACATCAATTACCTCGATTTCAACATAGCAAGTGGAGGACAGGGAAACTGGCTTCCCTTTGTCTTTGGCCCTCACGGTGAGATTATATACTTGTTTCCTCTCAAAGTCCAACTGCTGCACAATCCTAACTGCCCCACTGAGTTTGTCTACATCAAAGTGTCCTTCTCCATGGTCCAAGAGGCTGTATCTCACTTGACTAGACTGACCTAAGTCGGGATCATAGGCCTCTAACCACATGATTATGGTTCCTTCTGGAAGGTCCTCTCGAACTTTCACACGGTAATTAGGTGGAATGAACCTGGGGGGGTTGTCATTAACATCTTCTACTGAGACCTTCAAAAGTACCGTGGAAAACAGCTGGGGTTCTTCTGTGGCTTGATCCCTAGCTTCGATCTTCAAGTAATGCACGTGCTGGACTTCAGGATCCAACGGGCGCACGACTTTAACAACACCGGTCACGCTGTCGATTGAGAAGGTATCTGTGTCTGTGAGAAGAGAGTATGTCACTTGTCCATTTGGCCCTAGATCTTTATCTGTGGCTTCCACCTGGATGATTTCACTGTTTATCTCCTTGTCTTCACTCACCTCAACAAAATAGCTCTCCTGTAAAAACTCAGGGGGATTGTCATTGGCATCCAGAACCCGGACAGCGAGAAGATGCCAGGCAGCCTTCTGCGGTATACCAAGGTCAGACACTGTAATATTCAGGGTGTATTTGTCTGTTGTCTCTCGGTCAAGTGGAGATAAAACTTTTAGCATCCCCGTATCCACGTCGATAATGAAGCAACTGTCCTCATTTCCTCCCGAAATAGCGTAGACCAGTTTCCCATTGAAGCCAGTGTCAAGGTCAGTGGCATTCATGAGAATGATGCTGGACCCCACAGGGCGGTTCTCCTTCACCTCAATGCCAGTCGGGAGAGCACTGCTGAACTGTGGCGCGTGAGCATTGACAGAGTGAGAGTCGAAGAAGACATCCTCCACCTCTCCCTGGCCGTGCAATTTGTTTGCCTGCAGGAGTTTCTCGGCCAGCATTTTGGCCACGCCAGTCTCCTCACATTGCAGGTGTACTGGCTTGCGACTGACAGCCACCGTTATGTTGATGTACAACGGTGTGGCAAAATTTTCTCCATCTGTAGCTGTAATTCTCAGGCTGTGAAATGATACCTTTGCACCCAAACCATCCATTAGCGATTGCTTTAATGACAACACCCCAGAGCTGGGATGTAAGCTGAACAAATCTAATTCATTTCCGGCTTCAATCTGATAACGGACCAACTGAAGTTCGTCAGCATCAATAGCAGAAACAGTAGTTATTTGCTCTCCCACCCCCAGATCCCTGGGAATTGTTCCTTCACAATTTATTTTCTCAAACAAGGGCGTGTTGTCATTCAAGTTATTCAGGGTAAGGGTAGCAAGGACTTCAACTTCCCGGCGGTATGGCAAGCCCCAGTCTGACGCGCGAATCCTCAGTGTGTAGACCCGAGGCATCAGCTCATAGTCCAAGCTTTCTGAAGTACTCACGGCCCCGGTGAAGTGGTTGATGGCGAATGGCACAGGGTTTAAATTTGCGATACTGTAAGTCACATACCCGTTCTCACCCTCGTCGGGATCTATAGCACTCACACTCATGACGGTGGTGCCAACGGGCACGTTCTCATCAAAAGAGGCTTTGTACGCTGTCTGGGTAAATTCAGGGGCATTGCTATTAGCACTTAAGACTTTAACCAAGACCCTGGTTGAGGCTTTTCTGTCACTTGTTGTTACTTCAAGTTCAAAATGGGATGCCTGCTGTCTTTTAACGGGTTCTAAAATGGAAATGAGGCCTGTGTTGTGATTTAAGCTGAATTTAGCTTTGCCAGGGGCACTTTTGAAAACGTACCTCAAATGAGGATAACTAGGCGTGGCTTTTACCATGACCACGGGTGTGTGGGAAGGGGCCAACTCGCTTATTTCTGCCCTGTACACCTCCTTTTCAAACCTGACTGGCCCGGCTCGGAACTGTGGGGAAGTCACGTGAATTACTTTTACAGAAGAAAACTGGGGAGGCGTTCCTTTATCTTTAGCCTGCAGTGTCAGATTGTAGCCAAAAGGGTGACTGTCCCAGTCAATGCCACCGACTGCTTTGAGTTTATATTCTTTACTCCCCGGAGAGGACCTCACTGTTCGGAACTGCTGCAGGACGTCGCCGGCCACAATGCTTAAAGAGGCTACCTCCCCGCCGGCACCCTGGTCACCGTCTTCCACTGTTATGATTGCATAGGTGGGGTCCTTGTCCAGCTCTGACGGCGACAACGTCACCGCCGTTATCACAGGGGCATACTCGTTGGCCTGTTCGACGTGAACCGTTAGCTTGGCCATGCTGCTGATGCCGCTGCTACCGTACAATTTCATGCCACGGTCCACGGCGAGAATTTCCATCTCATAGAGCTGGGTCTCCGCGTAGTCAAGCCTACCCGTTAAAACTATCGTGCCGCTTGTTGGGTGAATGGCGAACATGTCCGTTCGGTCTTTAAAACTGTAGTAAAATTCCCCATTGGTTCCAATGTCTGCATCTGTGGCACTGACTCTTGCAATACTGGTCCTTATGGCTGTGTTTTCAGGTAAAGAAACACTGTACGAGGTGGGCGAGAACAATGGTCTCAAGTCGTTTGTATCCAGCACTTGCACCCGGACCACTGTCCGCGCTTCCGCATTAGTATTTTTCTCAAGGGCTTTGACCACCAATGTGTAGTGGTCCTTCACTTCTCTGTTAAGAATCGCTGTATTTCCTCCTTTGGTCCTTATCCTTAGAAAGCAAAAGTCTCCAAGAAGGTACTCTTCAGCCTTGAACAGGTTTTCATTGTCTCCTGAGACAATTTTGTACCTTAATTCCCACGAGGGGTTTGTAATGTAAATGCCCATCTTCACGGGATGCCCGACGTAGGTCTTGGCTGCCGAGTTTTCGTGCACAGTCACGTTGTACTGGGACTGCGTGAACTGCAGAGGAGCCTGCTCCAGGGCCTGAGTGCCCGCGCGGTCTCCTACGTGCTGGAGGAGGAGGAGCCAAAGCACGGCCAGGTGCCGCCCCATCGCGCTGCCGTGCTCTCTCGGGAACCTGCAACAGAGCAAAGAGGTAGCGATCATGACTTCAGGAAAATACAACCCCAGAATGTAGCTTTTCTTCCCTTGCCGTTTGTTGTAGACCTTACATGTTAATCAAGTATTTCCCATCTTTGTGGAATATGAATAAGTGAATAGTGTTAGATTTTTTTCTGTTTTCCAATAGAAGTATCAGCACTTATTTGTCTAGAGTTACTAAGTTTCAGAATACCCCTTTCCGAGTTTTAATGACTCAAGTTAAAGAATCCTAATGAGCATCAGATGCAAGATTGCCAATTGTAACGACTAAAGTGAATTCTAACACTGAAATCTTCAAGGCGAATATATGCAGTTGTCAAAAAGGCGGATAGGTACGTTGTTTCCATTTACTTACATACAATAAATGCTCACAAACATAATGCTACTATTGTATCCTGTGCATGAGAAGCTTTGAACAACTAATTTTTTTTATTTTCTTTTTTTTTTAATTTTTTTATTAATTTATTTACTTTTTAAATACATTTGTCTCTGCCTTCCCCCCACCTCTTTCCCTTGCCCCCTCCCACCTTCCCTCCCTCAGCTCTTCCCCTTTGGTTTTGTCTATGAGTCCTTGCTATATGTTCCTTGACTTTTGAACAACTAATTTAAAACAATAAAAGAAAACAATCTCACAGCAATAGTTTTATATGACCTCCCATAAAGATAGCTTGTAATTTTCATTTCAAAATTTATCCTAAAATTATTTCTTTATATGATTAACTTCACTCCCTACAATAGAAGGGTTTACTGTTTCAGTACTATATGACAACTTAAGTGTATTAAAATAATTGTATCATTCAAGTGGGATAATGGGGTCATTTCTGAAGCACTACAGGCCAAAAAAAAAAAAAAAGTCAGTTTACAAAAGGAAAACCAGCAGCTTGAAGATGAACAGAACTTTTCCTAAGTCAGCGAAACACATCTACCAACCACATCAATGTTTTATCACCACTGCTGTCAACAACCAGCACTCACAGAGCGCCTAGTGTCCTCAGGGCACTGAGCAACCTGTCACTGGAACACAAGACCCCCCCCCCAGCCCACAAACCACCTAAGCTAACTAAGGCAGGGAGAGGGCCCGATCAATGCAACAAGGTGGCAGGCACTCAGGGGGTCAGAGGGAGAGAGGTCCAAGGAAAAGACGTCTGAGAAAGGGCTGCCGTGAACAAGTGGGAAGGAGGGCGGTCCGCGGGGCGGACGCCTGGCACGGGAGCACAGCAATTATTTTCAGAACGACTGTTCCCCTCAATGCCAAACTCACCTTGTAACTCAACGTGGCTTCACAAAACATCCTAGCACTGAGCGCAGAGGACAGCACTGTCCCTTGGCAAAGTGACTCTCAAATCAATGTTCACAAGATGTGAATGCTACCCAAGGTGAAGGAAACAGCAGGCTGGAGGGCGGGTGCAACAGCCAGGTTGGAATTAGTATGGCAACATTAACATACAGTCTCTTAACTGGGCTAGCCGCCAACTTTGCCCCATTACTCATTTCACTGGGGGTTGGGGGAAACACCTGATATGCTGAAAGCAACTAGAAGCTTAATTGATATTCAATCATGTTCAAATTGGGTACCCTAACCTGTTCTTTAGATAGCATGCCTTCAGCTGAGCAGAGAAAATAGGGAACTTAGATTTCTGGACTCTAGAAGCACAATTCTCATCTAAGCAAAATAACAAAAAAATTTTCTCCTAAAACTATTCCTTAATTTGGTCAATAGTTGTAAAACTCAGGGGAATCTGAATATTTTGTAATGATCCAGGGATTTTATTAAAACAAGAACTTCAATTCAGTTACACCTCCTGGTACTGAGAACCTTCTATGGGACAGACCATGCAAGATACATGGAATTAAAGAATATTTTAGAAGAGATTCCAAACCAGAGGCACTTACAAACTAGGAATAACTACACATAAGATAGATAGACAGACAGACAGACAGACAGGTGGATATAAAATGCTTTAAAGAACACTTAAAAAGATGACGTTAAACAAGCATTGTCTTTGTTTTAGGAAACATACTATTACTGTTATCTACATCAAAGTATCATATTAGGAGTCTACTGGAGGCAATTAAAAATTTTCGCTTAATTTTACATATAAAATATCATGCACTAAAAAGAGTAAGGCAGCACTATATATGTTGCCATGCAAAAATGTCCAGATACATTCACTGGAAAAACTAAACTGATCCCATTTATGTTTGCAAAATAAAAAGAGAAGAGAGATAAACTGTGTGCAGAGTACACAAATGTGCTTAAAAAATGAACAGAAAAATCTGGACACAGATTAAAAAAATTCTTAACTGTGGTAACTTCTAGAGAGTAGGCGGCTAGAGACACGTTTCCATTTTTACTTTTCTATTTGCATTTTTTGGCATAAGCATATATTATCTTTATCATTCATTCACTCCCTTCATCAATTATTTGATTCAGTCAACGAATATTTAATGCGCTGGGAATAGATGCTGGAGATACAAAAGTGAAGCAAACAACCTACCAACAAATTCTCACAGCAATACATTTCCTGGTGACAGACAGGTAAACCAAGTATATCAGATGCTGACGATTAAGTGCTAAGGAGAAAAATAACTAAAGCAGGGCGAGACACTGGTCAGTAACCTGAAGGGAAAGAGAAAACCCTAAATGCAAAAGGACCAAAGTTTCTTAGTCTCAGCGCTATGTACATTGTGGAATTGGGCGGGGGGGCGGGGGGGGGGGCGTTTAGAAAGCTGTCCTAAGCATTCTAGGATGTTAAGTATTATTCCTGGTCTCCACCCGCTACAAGCCTGTAACATAACTTCCCCACCAACTAAGAAATGTCTCGAGATACTGCCAAATGTGTCCGCCAGTAGAGAAGCCTACTGAAGGGAACAACAAAGCAACCGTTGTGGCTAGGGCACACAGGTGAGGGGAGGGCAGTAAGGGGCACCTTTTCTTAATACAAACTTTTAATTTTACAGTAGTTTCAGGTTTACAAAAAAATTAGGATACTTTCCCCTATTGTTAATAGCTCACATAATTACGGTACCTTTGTCCCAACTAATGAACTCTTTTGAGCACTGTTATTAACCACCTAAGTCCTGATGCCCTTCCTCTGTCCCAGGATCCCATCCAAGACCACCACGTCACGCTGAGTTGTCCTATCTCCGATTCTGGATTTCCTGGATTTCCCTTCTTGTTAATGACCTTGACAGTTTTGAGAAGCACCACCAGGGGCTCTGGAGCACGTTGGTCAAGTGGGAATGGCCTGCTGTTCTTCTCCTGACTGCACTGGGCTGTGTGTCTGGGGGAGGAGTAAAGTGCCCCTGCCACCGCTTCGTATGGCCACGACTCCTCCCTGTTGACGTTGACCTTGTTCGCTAAGTTGAAGCATCGCCTGCCAGGCTCCTCCGCAGCGCAGTTGCTCTCTCCCCCGCCCCTTCTGTACTATTTAGAAAGAAGTCACGACGCTCAGCCCACACGTAACGGGTGTGAGAGTTAGGCTTCCCAAGTTATTTAGAATTCTTCTGCAGGGGAAATGTGTCTACTCCCTCCCATTTGTGTACCTATTCCATCATTCCTTTAGAGCGGTAAGAACTCACGGAGGAAGGATGACTTTTAGGACTTTGAATTTTACTTGAGGACTGGGGACAGGGAGCGACATGCTCTAATTGAAGGGGAGAAATGGTGGCTCTGGGGCACCTGTGCTGGGAACAGAGGGCAGGGCGGCCAAGGCAGGAGCCGGAGGGAGGCCAGTTCGAGGGGAGAGACCACAGTGGCTTAGCCCAAAAATGGCGATGATGGCGGTGGGGAGAAATGATCCGACTGTGGATCACAGGACCTGTGGGTGAACCGGAGAGGCAGCGGGGCGAGGTATCAGAAACGATCCCAAGGACTGCGTGCTGAGTGAGAAAAGTTGAGCGGGCGGGTACGGACAGAGAGAAGAACGAGGGGAGAACAGATTTCAGGGAGTCAGGTGAGGAATTCCGTTCTGGAGAAGTTGAGGCGGACATGCCTGCAGTTAGATGAAGTGGGCAGTCAGAGGTGTGGGCAAGGTCCCGCCTGGAGGCAGGAACGAAAGCCTGATCGAAAACCACAAAGCTGAGGGCACCAACAAACGGAGCACCTCAGAGAAGAAAACAGCCCTGACGCTCTCCGAGACTCAGAGGACAGCAAAGGAGCGGGGCCAGCAGGGCCAGCGAAGCGGCCAGAGAGCTGCTGAGGGGGAGGCAGCAAGGTACAGCGGAGTGATGGGAGCGTCAGTAGACCCATCTTTTAGAACATCTGAGGCCCAGTCTTGGCCTTTGGATGCGGATGACCCATAAATACTGGCTGGTGCCGTGCTGCTGCCCTGGACACCCCCTTCACCCCCAGGTGACTAGGACTCGACACCCAACGTTTCATTATCGCTGCTGTTCTCTCACCAGGCCTCCCGGGCCCTCGGGCCAACCACGGCCTCTGCCCCGCCCACTCACCTCTCACCGCCAAGTCCCATGCGCCTCGTCACCTTGCACAACCCACCCACCACCCTCCTCCCCGACACGTCGCCACGGGAATAAACCTCCCGCACCGCATTATTAACTGAGACCTTTAAAAACCCCGGACGTTCTGTGCCAAGTTGGCAAATGAGCAGGAGGTCACTGTGACTAGATGACATTATTAAGTGCAGTTCTTTTGATTTGACAAAAAAAAAAAAGTCTACTTTTTAGGAGATATTTTTCACCTTACAGTAATATAACCCAGAACTGTGAATTCAGGTTTCACTGGAAAATGCCATGATCAGAAAACAAACAAACAAACAAACCATGGCTGCTACTCTAATGCAAAACAAACAAGAAAGCTGAAGGGGGAGGGGATAAAATATACCATTTCCTCTAAAAAGTACATCATCACCCAGAGTGCATGCTCATGAAAATTAAACTCTGAAAACCATTCTAGCCAACGGCTACACTTTGATATTTAGAAGGCAACCAGCTACTTGAACTCACAGGGATTTC